TGGGCCCGCCCGCGCACCCGACCCCGACCGTTCCCCTCGTCGATGTTTCCACGATCTTTTCTCTCCCGCGAGCAGGTCGGGGTGGATCCCGCCAACCTCCTCGCCAACAGGTGCGCGCCGAACGCCCGGTTGCGGCTGTGCGATCTCCGGGGCACGGCTTCGGAGCGCGGCAACGGCTCCGGCGGCTCTCCGGCGGCCGAGAAGCAGTCGTCCGGAACGTGGGGCAGCTCCTTCAGCCACAACAAGTGCCACTGGAGCGACCTCGAGGCGTGCCGTGGCGACCAGCCCGTCGGGGGCTCCGCAATATCCGAGGGGAGCCTGGTCCTCCTGCAGGACTCCTCGCAGCCCCTCAAGAAGCTCGCGCCCACGACGGAGGCCTCGATAGCAGGCGGCGGCGGCAGCAGTGGCACGGCGGCGGCGGATTCCGGGACGACGACGACCACTACCGCCGACGCGGCGTGCGCGCTGTCGAGCGTCGGGCCGTGGTATGCCGGCGGGGCCAGCAGCGCCAGCGACGTGGGCGGCGGCGCGACGTCGTCTTCGTCGTCGACGGCCACGTCTGCTGCCGGGGCGCTCATGCTCCCCGCGAGCAAGTCGTCCTCCTCCTCTTACAGCTACAAGCCAAAGGAGCGCGCCCTGCGCATCAAGACGAGGCGCGACCGGCTGCAGGAGGGCAGGGTCGTGGCCGCGGCGGCTGCGGCGGCTGCGGCGGCTAGGAAGAACGAGGCAGCGGCGGCGGCGGCGGCGGCGGCGGCGGCGACGGCGGCGGGGCAAGGCGCCGCCGTCGGAGCTTGCCCGCCGGTCGGGAACGTCAGCAACACGTCCGCCATGACGAACGACGGGGGCTCGCGTTCACCGGGGGGACTGTCCGACGTAACCGTCGGCGACACCGCCGTTGTCGAAGCGTCCTCCGGAGAGGAGACGGTCGGGACCACTGTGTCCGGCGGCGGCGGCGGCGGGGGCGATAATCAGCGCAGCGGCAGGCGGAATCGCGGTGGGACGGCCGCGGCGGCGGCGGCGGGAGGAGGAGGGGGGCCGGCGGACAGGAACGCGGAGAAGCAGCTGGAGGACGGGTGCTTCGAGGACTTGTGGGGGTTCGCTGAGGGCGATGGCGACGCCGCCGCCAATGAGGCGTGGGGGGTTTCGTCGTCGGAACGTGAGGCGTACGCGGGGTTGGGGGACGGGGGTGCCACAGGCACGACGATGTTGATGCATTCGGAGGCGGAGGTCGCGGAGGCCGGGGGTAGCGCTCAGTTCGACGATCTGGTGGCGTGAAAGGCTCTCGCTGCTGCCGATGGAGTCGTTTCGGTCTGGGTGGGAAGGGAAGACGGCCTAGGTTGTGCTTATCTGTTTTTTTATACTATTGTTGCATGTTTTCGTTTTTGCCGATGCGGTTGAATCCCGATCGATGCGCTTTCATCGTGACGGGCAGATGTGTCACACTGTCACACGAAGTTGAAATAGAGGGAGAGAGATGGGGGGCGGGGGGGGGGGGGGGGGGGG